TACTGTATTCTCAGCTGCCAGTTCCCAACTCTTCTCAGAAAGCACTAAATGCCTTTCAATCCTACATCTCCATTGCAGACACTGGAGGGAACCGAAAGGCAAGCGTCTCAACAAGAGCAGGATTTTTTTTTTTTTTTGTATGATAAGAATTTGGGCCTCCTTACTCCCACTACTGTAAACTAACAAAAAGTCCACCCTCTCCCTCTCCAGTTAAATGGAAAAAGTACAAATCTGGTTCTTTAGCTTTATTCAACTGTGGGAAACTTGGGTTTGCTCTCCAGTTAAAAGCAGACTCTTCAGTGCACTTCACAGTGACCTCTTCACAAGGGGCTAGTATCATTTCTTTAAATGCCCCTACACTAAAAATAGTTCTGCTTCCTAAACATGAGTGCTTAGCAGTTCCAGGCATTCTGAGATCTTGCATACCACTTCATTTTTTTTAAAACTGGCAACATTTATTTAACCAGCAATTAAAAAAAGGAGGCCCAGCCGCCCCAGTGATTCTTCCCAGAGGGTCTTAGATGTTTATGAAACACAATGAAAACAATAAAGTGGATAAAATCATGCTATTCCATCAAGTCCTTGGCAAGACTTCCCAACCAAGAATAAATTGGCATGGTACGTTACAGTCAACAGATTACACAATGGTTTAGAGGGTCACCAATAATAAGGGGTCACACGCTCCTTAAAGAGCTACAGTATATGTTAAAAGTCACTTGCTTAAAGGGAAACGGCAGTGCTTGGTCCTGAGTTCCTTGGAGCAGCCACAAATTCTGGCAGCCAGAGCACAAGCGTGCTGTAGGGGTAGGGTAGGACAGAAGGCGCCTCTCCTCCCCAGCGCCAGGAGGGGCACTGACTGCACTGAGCGAGCTGGCTGGGGCAGTTTAGAACCCTGAAGGGAGCAGAAGAAAGCCAGGCCAGGCTGGACTCTCTTATTTCTGCATACGAGAGGAAAATCCACGCTATATACTTTTAGGACCAGGACAGTCTCCGTGTCTCAGTGAGGCCCAGCACCACCCACCCTATCAACCCTTCCCAAGGAGCCCTGCTCCTCACTCCTCCACTCAGAGGAAACTGGTTCCACTCCAGAAGCAAGATGGCAGTTCCCTGTCAGTCTAGTCACACTTAACAGTGTATAGCATGTAGCTAGCCTTAAAAGGTGGTCAGCTATACTCTTAGGTAACTTGATAAAGTAATCATAATTCATTAAATGTGTTTCAGTTTTCCTTTAAATAACTACTCTTAAAGCAAGATGGAAAAGAATGGTCAAAGCCATAACCTTACTCTCACCTGTCAACCTGGTAACAGATTTCCACTGTGCCACCTGCATAACCTGCCCGTCAAAATGAAAGTCAAATTTTTACATTCCTAAAACATACATGATTTTTTCAAATCTCACCTTAAATGAAAGATACTTCTACCTTTGCTCTTTAACTTACCCTTCCATTACATGGAATATTTTAATCTACTGACTATATATTAATCATATATAAAAAAACCACCATCAAGTCTTAAAAGCAAATCAACCTCACTTCATTCTATTCTGCATCACCAGAAATCAGACTACAACTAACAGTTTCATCCTTTATCTTCCACAATTTTTGATGACGCTAGGTGGTTTTCACTGGATTATTCAGTATCTAGCTGAAGTTAATGACTGACTACTCAGAATAAAAATTAAAGAAAACCTATCCCCCGAAGTCAGTGCAACAGTAAAACAAGGGTGTAGAAAACAGCACTAGTAACATACTCCATGCAGTAATACTATGCATCCGGCTTCAATCAGCTTGACTACTAAAACTCAAAGTGCATTTGAGTGATAAAGCTGAAGTAAACATAAGAAGGCTCTCTCATATGTAGCCGCTACTCTTTGATTGCGGTGACCCACTGCTCCTTAGTAAAGCAAACAGCTGGTACCAAGCCAAGAGCAGTACATCTGATTTTCCCACCAAGTGAACTGCTGAAGCAGCTCCCTTAGCTCTTCAGCTAAATCCGCCTTGGGATCCTAAAGTCTTCCGCTGGAGTCCAGGTGGCCCCTCTACTCCTTTACACACGCACGCAAACATTACAGCCGGCTGGGCAGGCGATGCGAGTGGGCACTGAAAGGGAAAAAAAGCGCCACAGCCCCCCATCTCTCTCCAGATCAGAGCCCACGCTCGGGGGGCTACCTCCCAGCCCAGCTACAGCCAACCCGGTCCCCCGAGGTGGTCTCCTGGGCTCCGTCCCTCCGGGGTGCCCCTGCCCTCGCCACGCACCCGAGAACCAACATCCCGCGAGGCACGGCGGTGGCACCGGGGCGCACCAGCGACTCCCAGCTCCGCCCGTGCGCAAGGACTCCGCGCCAACCTGCGCTGCCCCCGGGCGGGGATCGC